TTCTTCCAGCGGGAGACACACTGATGCAGGATCATTTTTCTCAGACTATGTTGACACACAAGAAGACAGGAAAACTGGTTAAGATACACACATCAGAATGTGTTGGACTCCCTCATTAGTTTCAATGCAAACTTCTAAATAGTCCTGAACCAGATATTTCAAAGGGATTTTCCTTTTTTTGTGGTCAGACATCTACAAAACATAAACAGATATTTAAAAAAATATCGTAAAACCGTAAGTATTGACAGTAGAGTCAATCTTACAAGCGATTTTATGTGGTAACAGTGAGTATTCTTGTAAACCAAAATTAGGTGCGTGTTACCGGTCAACCTATGTGCGTGTGTCTTCCTCCGGGTGTCCATTTTGATTACCACAGTGCCAAACAATCCTCGTGATCCCCCTCCTGCTGCCCACATAAGCTGGGTGTGTAAACAGGATGTCAACCCAAGCAACGCTCAGCTATTTTAAACTGTGGGCTTCGGCACACATGCAACCTGTGCCTCATCTCCCCCTCAGCCAGAGAGCGATGGCTGGAGGTAGACTCAACAAAATGGATGAGTTCATAGGGCGGCTGTCTTGGAAGACTTCTACAAGACAAAAGAGAGGTCCTGGGAGGCGTACCTGTTAAAAACCACACTAACAAAAGATGGGTGACAAAAAAGGGACTCGTAAAGTTCCACCTACACTAAGCACCAGCCTTTCTTCTTTTTTTTTCCACAAACAATTACACGATTCCTGAGACTGAGTTGAAAACACTAAAGGAAAATTATTCGAGTTCAGAAAGTGCAAGTCTTTGTAAAAACATTTGAGATATTTTAGTGACACAGACGGCCTCTTTTTTCCCGTTAATAATTATTCCCCCCCCTTTTTTCAACACAGCAACGCATCACTGTTCAATTTTCACCTCCATCTGTGTGATTATTAATCTGATCACACATCAATTGCCAGAACCAGCAAAGAAATTCAGCCTGTAATAAAACTGTCATGTGCCGTAGTATAAAGACAGATGTTGCCAGTTGTGTGATAACATAATTAAACTGTTCTGTGAGGGATTCCATGAAATTATTCAAATTGGACGAGCACTATCATTTTACCAATAAGCAATTTAGGGCAATATGCAGTGTCATAACACTGATGTTATCCTCTCTGCCAGATTTTCCAATAAGTTGGAGCCTCTGCGTGGCCTCCTGCGGCAAAATGAGCGGTATACATGAAAATACCTGTGAGCTGCTAGAGATTGAGGAGTATGCTCGGCAACAGCGACACGAGGAGTATGTCGACGTGCGTCAGGCAGTGGGTGCGCTAAAGGTGTCCAAAAGCCTTTATCAGGAATGTGACATACGAAGAATTCCTCTGCTCATGCATTTGTGGGAAAACTCTAAAAGCTGAATCATAGTTTTTATTTGAATTTCCTTTTCGGTTTTTGTGTGTGTGTGTGTGTGTCTGTGTGTCTGCCTACTTGATAGAAACAGAAACCCTTGGAGAGCTTGCTGGCTGAAGAGGTCCTCTCAGGTGCTGCTAAATGTCTGACTCTGACCAGTCCTGTGCCAGAGACCAGCAAATTCGGCCCTTGAAGACTTGCCCTCCTATGAGAACTGCATACATGCACGCGTCCAGATCTGGCGAGCGCTCTGGGATGTGAAAGCTTGGGAGGACGGCGCGTAAAAACAAGCATCTCAACCCCCCCCAACTTCAGTGGGGACGGTGTGAGACTTGCATTATGCAAACGGGAAAACCTCTGAGTACTCGGCTATTTCCGAGGCCACTGGAAACCGTGTCACTCCCTCATCACTCTAAAGGCAACAAGAAAAGAAGATGGACGCTTTAACTTGAACAGGATAAGGAGCTGAAAAGCCTCTTTTTTATCTAACTTCTTTCTTTAATAAAAAATTAACAAAATATCAGCTGATGCTATGTTGTCAGCATTCTGCTAGCAAATACAGCATGATGTGAAGTCAAGCTTGGGCAGAGATAAAGATGAGCTGGCTGGATGTTGCCTTTTTTATCTGGAGGTGGAATGCAGAAATATCCCGTAAATGTCAACAATTCTAAATATGAGATCTCTGCAAACGTCAAAGGATTTCTAAAGGTGTGTGTGTTTCCAGAATACTGCAGATTGTAGCAACTTCATAGATACATACACTTAAAAGCACAAAGACATACGATATCTGCTAAACATTTCTTCGTTTATTCTTAAAATGCAACCAATCTTTACCAAGTCTAGCAGAGGAATTTTACAACCCTGCTTTATTTTCTTTTCTATATGGACAGCACCGACAAAAATGTAAGGGAACTAAAGATATCTGTTAAGGTTTATTTTAAAAAGCCTCTCTGAAAGACAGGATGTGAAAACTGGAGGCTCTACAGTTTAATTTCAGGGATGTATGGTGAAACTAGTGGGCTGAAAATGATCATATACATTGCAGGAAACTTTGCTGTGGAGCTGAATATCCTGAATGCATCAGCTCCAGAGTTAAAACAACGGCCCTCGGATTATTACCATCACCGTGTCTTTATCTGACATCTACAGCTGCACGACACAACTTCCCGTTACCAAATAATTTAAATCACAAAACAGGCTATTGCAAAAGCACTCTGTCTTCGCACAATTGTTTTTGTTTTTTTTCTGCCCTACAGAATCTTCACTTCCTCATGTGGATAACGTTAAAACCACAACTTCTGCCATGCAAAAAAAAAAAAGAGAGAGAGAGAGATAGATAGAGAAAAATAACCACCAGATTCTGGTACAGATACACATTGTAAACAAGTTAATATATTCTTAACGTAACACTTTTTTTTCAGGACATCCTTGTATGTAGATTAACAATGAAATAAATTTTACATCTGCACCGGAAAGTCACACCGTTACAGCACAGATACCACGTGAAATCTGTTAAATTTCAACAGCATCTCACAGGGAAAAAAAAACAAGATAGCAGTTTCTCTTTTCATGTTTTTTTCCTCTTTTTTGGAAACCCTTAGTTCTCAACAAACAGTATTTGACTTACTAATAGAGATGCTTAAATCAAGCTTATGGTCCACTTCCCTCAAATCTGACTAGCCCACAAGATGAATTCCCCTGTCAGAATCAAGATGATCAAACAGATTACAATTATTTCATCCCCCATCTTTATTAATGAGGACTGTCTTTCATAGTTATGTTCCCTAATAAGAATAAATGATATGCCACTGCTAGGTTTGTTGTTCCAACTCATTTGGGTGGGGGGGGTGGGGGGTGTTCTCAGACATTTTCACTTTGAGTCTGAGAACATTCAAGATTGATTTTCGCATCACTCGAAAGGGGTAATCGCATCTTGGATATGTTTTGTAGGGAACAAAGGAAAAGTAAATAGGAGGGGGAGAAAAAACTCAGTGTGTCAGTAAGAGGCGAATTAGTCGGAGCCACAAATAAAACTTGAAAGAAAGGACTGTGAAATGCCACAAAAGTAAAAAGTTATCAAGTAATTGAGAAAAGATCGTAATGCCCCGAGGACAATTAACACGGTTCATGGTGCATGAGGGAAAATCCTGGGTTAGTCTGAGGGGAGGATAAAAAGACAGAGAGCCTGCCTTGCCAGTAACACTACCCTGGTAAGTAGCCCATCAAAGCCCCATGTCCAGAGCTGGGAGTGAGACATCTCGTCCTTCGTCCTCATCCATGTGTCACTTATCGCACGCAACAATTAACAGACCTCCCTCTATTTCAACTCAAACGCACCACAGAAATTAAGGACTGGGTTTGCTCCAAACCCACCCAGATACAGAGCGGAGGGGCAGAAAATGTGGCTGCTACAAAATGAGCTAGGATGTTTCCCTCTGTTGAAACCACGGGGCAAATATGAGGAGGGTAACGGCCCTTTGAGGATGAGCAGACCATTCTTTGCCGACTGGCTCTATTCATGCAGTGCAGCAGAGGAGGGGCTGTATTTCCATCCCTTTTTGGTGTCAAGTGTGTATCTACGACACTTTGCAATCCCGTTTTCGCTCTCCCCCCGCCTCACATTCATCAAAGTTGTAACCCTGTTGTCTTTGCAGAGCGAATCAGAATGTGCCCCTGGCGAAGAATGAAGGAAAAGTCAACAGGAATTAGGTTTCAGTGCAACTGTTTACTCAACTGTGGCCTGCAGTTATTGAAATTTTATCCATGGTTTTGTGTGACTGCTGCGGTAATGAATTCAGTATGGCTGTGATTTTCTCACTGACGACATGCTCGTTCCGGGCTGGAAAAAACAGAGAGGTGGGAGGTGGGGTCAGGGGCCGAGGGAGAGGGAGCCAAGAGTGGATCTGGCGATGTCTGAGGGTTTCAGGGGTCAAACACTGACCCATCCCTTCTATTAGCACTACTTCTTTCTAAATAATAGCAGAAAATTAGATGCAGAAAGGTGTTGCTCTTCTACCAGCATCTCTGAGAAGACAGCATGCACCGTGTCCACGCAACAACTGTCCGTGCTACAGTTAACTTCAGCTCAGTGTCATTTATCACTGTGTAAATGTGCAGTTTACACATCTGAATGAAATGGTGCTTCGATGCATTTGAATTTTTAAATCAATCAACTATTAAATTCTCAATTGTCTCAATTCAAGGGACAGCCCACTCGGCAGAGAGGCCAGCGTTGGCCGCCATTACGTTTAATGGTGGCCATCTAGTAAGGTACATTGAAAAGGAACTCTGACCCTGATCGTGACCCGTATTGCTTGTGTTCCTGCTAACAAACATAAAGCCGGTTGGCTTTGTCGCGCGGTGAGATACAAATGAATGAATTGTCTGGCTTTCAACGGCGGCTGTGTGTCGCTGCTTTTTGATCGTATATCCATCATCGTAACCCCATAATGATTCTGCTGAAAGATGATAAATGCTAATACTGAGTTATTGCTCAAACCCATATGTAACAGAGCCATTTCCCCTTCTCGTGTCCCACGCTCCAGGACTGTTTCTCTCCTTGTACACAAACTGATGGATGTGCTGTGACAACAGACAACAGCACACAGCCTGTGCATCATCACCAAACAGCTCCTGACAACAACCCTAGTGGTGTTGTCGGATAGACCGAGATAGCAGAAGACACACTGATCTTTTCAGTGATGCTTCCTTGAGCGCGCTGTCGTGTGCCACACATAACGCTGACACCAACAGAAAGAGCTTGTCTGTTCGCCTCAAGTCTGCCGGGGTGAAAATCTCCCGGCGTGGCGGCGCGGCGCGCACGCCTAACACGGCAGTGTGGCATTAAGTTATGAGTGTGAGGTGTGTTTACAATGAGCCAGAAGGAAAACGCTGCCAACCCACTGGATGTCATCATTTGCGAACTGTCTCCAAAATCCTGCAGCACCTACGTACTTAAAATGTGCCCGAACGCGGTGATAAATATTTAACCGAAATGCAGATGCCCCGTGCTGCAATAAACACACTCACAACCAAACAATCACACAGAAAGAGCACTTCCCCCTCCTAAAATATTCAAAGAGGGCCTCAATATACATAAATAATAATAATAATGTGTTTGTGTACCAGATGTACTTTGAGATGGAATTAAATATTAAGCTGCACTTTAAGCAGAGGACGGGGTTCTGCTGCTGACAGGTGCGAAAAGGGGAGCGGGTCTACCTGGTGCTGCTGGAGATGCAGGAGGTCCGCAGCCGTCACGTCCACCGACGGCGTGGCGCTTTTGGATCGGCCCTCTCTGGGCACGCCCTCCACGCCGGCGCCTCCATTTTGACTGGCTGGTCCGTTGCTCGTCACCTCCGTCCCAGATTCTTGCATCATGACTTAAAAACCTGACGCGGAGTGAGGGGGGGAAAAGAAGAAAAACAGAGAGAGAAATCAGGGACAGAGAGAAACAGCTGTGAAAACACACAGCCATGAGGTCGCATTTCAACTGAGGGCCAAACTATAAACATCTGTCCTGTCCTTCCCACACCATTTCACTTTCGGTGCAACTTCCCCCCCCCCCGTTGGCTTACGCTTCCCCCTGTCTTGTTTGTTTGCTTGCGGCATATGAAATGAAACAAACACACAGAGCTGCCTCTAAACATGGCAATGAACTGGTCCTTTGTTTTTTAGTCTTTTCTGTTGCAAATGACAAGTCTGCGCTGGGAAAGAGAAAAGCGAACGAGACTGGGATTTGTGTTTGTGTTTTCCATTAATGGAAGGGGTGGGGGGGGGGGTCCAGCGCACATTGGAGAGGAATCCAACCTGTGCGGAGCGAGAGCGGAGGAGCCCAAGAAAACACTGGACCTCCAAAACAAAACACTTTCTATGGAAATGGATATATTTACTTGCATGGCTCCCAGAAGAACCACGGCAAAATGGCTTTTTAATGGGAAACAGGGCCAGCGTGAGAGGCCTGCCAAAGGATCTCCATGAGAAACATCTAATCTGAGGCCACATAAAAAGCAAAAAACAACAAAAAAAACAGTCAAACCCTTGGGGCGGGGGGGCTCAGTTATCACCACAATACAGGGGTCTGTAAGAGAAAAGCCTCTGAATTGAAAAAAAATGCTACCTTTCAGAACTTAAATCGAACTCTGAAGGATAACACACAAATATTAGTCGTGTTGTTTCAAGTATAATTGCAGGGTTTCTGTACAAGAGAGCCAAAAGCCATTGTTGACCGCTAATAGATGAAATTTCCTTCCATTTCCAGTTGTTTTTGGGGACACAAAGGCCAGATAGTTCTGCTGTGCCCCCCTCCCCGTTTGTCCCAGGGGGTTAAGAGGCAGCGATTCCAGCGCAGAGCTGCATCCATATCCCTAAAATCAGGGGAGTGATTTACGGCCAATGTGAGCTGGTCACGGGACTCCCCGGTGCAACGCATCTAGCCTCCCAATTCCCGGGCAGTTAATGAAGCTGACCAAGTCAGGCAGAAGCAAATTAACTTGGCTGATTAATAATTTATATGAAGCAGAATAAATGCCCTTAAAACACCAGGCCTCATCATGAAAGAATGCGAAAAGGAGACTAAATGCAGATTTATGGCGCTGCGTTTAAGGCGTGTAATAGGACGGCTAGTGTGAGCACGTACGAGCTCAGGTACACAGGCGCCGGGTCTCCGGAGATCAGATCTAAACAAGATGCAGACGCACTCCCGGACACCGTGGGGACACACACTCAGGCTGACAGATGGGAAATTGAGGTTGACAACTCGCCACACAAGTATATTTACAGATAACGGGATGAGGCGATCATCTAGATGCGGGTTAAAAAAAGAAAATGTGGCGATCTATGTTCAAACCCTGCTCCTCAGGAAGGGTTTCCCAGCTCTGAATCATTATAGAGGGTTCTAGGCTGAAACTCAGTCCGAACACAACTCCAGGACCAAGGGTGCAAAATGGTTTACGCTCAAAAAGCATAACTGAGTGAGTCATCTGCGCCGGTTCAGCCGTGTGTCACAACGCCCCCACACTTCTGGGCCTGTCTGTGCAGCCCGGGTCCCGGCTCACAGGCCCCGCTCTCTGGGGCGGGCTACAAGACCCCCCCCCGCCCCCCCCTGTCCCCCCGCCCCCCAGACAGATGTTGACCCAGCTCACCCCTTTCCAGTCTGGCACAGCCTCCCTCCATAATGGGATTTTCTAAACAAGGAGTGAGCAGTAGGAGCGCTGCGGGATGGGACGCGGCCAGCCACGAACTCCATCCCAAGGCCCTCCGTCGCCTTCAGAGGCTCCAATTACAAGCGCACATTTGAAATAAACCACGTGCTGACGTTACGGCTCATCGTTCAAATAAAAGACTTTCTTCCACGGGCGGGGAAAGAGGGGGACTACTTCTTTCCTCTTTTTTTTTTTTGTACGTAATGGCTATTACACATGCACTGTCGTTCGATGCAAAATGTTCATAATTGTAACGGAAAGGCGTACGTTTCCAAATTCACGACGTCTCCAAAAGTAATCAAGAGAATGAGCCGCGGGGCTATTTTAATGTATGCAAAACTAGTGACCCACAGTAAAGGAGGGAAAGACTCCAATGAATGCGCACACGCTTGGAACCGGCACTGATGAGGGGATGGCTAAAATTAACACCCAATTAATTTTCGAATTGACAAACAAATGAAACCCATAAATCTACTTTCTCATTAATTTCACCACAGAATAATTCAAAGCTGCAGTATCATGAATGAAAAAGAAAAAAAAAATCGAGAGAAAAAAAAAGAAAATGGGAAATGGGCATTATCCATCATAAATATCAAGCAGATAGGAAGGAGCCTTATTAGAGAGTTGTGCTGATAACAGTGTTAATCTGCAGAGCACTGAGGCAGGGAGACCATCACGAGCCGAGGCCCGGGCGGCTGGGCCATGTGACTCGGCCCCGCGTTTGTTTATCTATCTGTTTATTTTTGCATCGCTCAGGGGACAGCCTCTTATGCGATGACTCAAAAAGCTAAAAGTTTTTCCATTCGACTCCATTTTTACAGCGCAAACAGATTTAGCTGTAATTATGGGTCAAGTGCTCTTCTAAAAACGGGTGCAGTTGCCGGGGTTACGGACGTGTTTTTTATTTTATTTTTATTTTTTTAGCATGCACAAACATGGGACAATACACAAAAATACTTATTAATGAGGGCACGTCCGGTTTTATACTTCTGCGTAGGAAAATAACCCCCGCAAAAGCTATAAAAAGTGAGAATCGGAAAAATGAAAATTCCAGAAGATCAAAAAAAGACAGCGGATTGTACGGAAAGAGAGCTGCCAGCGCTGCTGTTTATTAGATGAGTCTCTGCTACTCGAGGGGGGGCGGGGGTTGAAACAAACACTGGATAATAAAAGAGGGTCAGAGTTTCTGTTTGTTTACAGTTTGTTTTGTTTTTCCCTGCCTCAAATATGAGGAGTACAGTACAAACAACAGTCACATGCGTCTCCCACCTGACCAGACAGGTTGAAGGTTAAGAACAGCCGGCGGCCAGAGCCCATCGGTCCGCCCCTCGTGGAAAGCCAATGCCTGTCCCTCTGTCATGCTCGCCTGGAATCCGACAGCTTAAACAAGACAGCAGTCGATTCAAGGTAGGGTTGGTCCGCGCAGCTGCGCGCTGACCCTTCTCTGCGTTCTGTTTTTCTTTAATGCTCATGACGGTAAAGCCTCAGCGGCCACCTGCTTCGATTCGCCGAGTTCTCACACAGCCCGTGTTTACACAAGCGCACTACAAAAGCTCAACATTTCTTGGGTGGGAGATAAAGGCGCGCAGCGAGGAAACAAAGGGTGGAGGTTCACTTTGTGAGCTGTTTAGGTTCGACTTGGTTGCCAGACTAGACAACACATCAGCGTGTGCTAAAGGTGCAACAACAGAATGCCCGTCAAGGTTTTTTGAGGGGCTTATCTTTTGTTGTATTTTGGCTTCCGAATCTAAGGAGAAGTCAAAAGACAAACACAAGGTGCATGTAAAAAAAAAAAAAAACCTTATCGCAGCCCTCATCCCTGATAACGAAGTATCTGTCTCTTAGGAATATTCCGCTGTTGAGGACATTTGGATGAAATCAAACAGGAGTCCCACACTCCTCAAGTCCCATCGCCTTAAAAAAAACTGGCCTTTTTTAAACAGCTGGCGCAGCGCGTCACCAAACCTCTGAGACAACGAAGATGCTGCACAAGCCCCTCCAGCCTCTGTGCACGTATGACCCCCCACTTCCCAGGACCTGCACCCCACCAAAAACAAGGCATCGTCCCAGAGCTCACACGGGGCGTTCACAGACCCCTCAAACTGGCAAACAAAGCGGCTGTTTGTTTAATAAGCGATTGCCGCCATGGCTACAGTAAACAGGGCGAGAGGGGGGGGGGGGGGGGGGTTGGGGTTCGTGTTTATGAACAAACACGTCTCCTCGCGGGAGCCGTTTAATATTAACCAGGTGGAATGATCGGCCGATTTCCTTGGTGACACTCGGAGCAAGCATCGTTTAACAGGCTTTAGGAGGCAGAAGGGGGGGGAGCGGGGCTTTAAGGGAATCAGGGTCGATGCAAATACAGCTTTGACTTGGATAAACACGGAGACAAATGTCAAGATAAACAAGCAGCCGTTCTTCTGACATTTGTAGACACATTAAGCCGGTAGAGCTGCAGCTGGTAGCGAGCCACCGTCACTGAGAACAAGAGAGGAGGCGGCGGTGGGGTGGGCGGCCGCCGAGGTGGTCTCCTATGGTAACGCATCATTGTCGAGTGTTTGTTCCAGTCCCGACAAACAGTGGCTCCTCACAACAGCGCAGGGTGGAACTTGTAAAAACATGTTAAACATTTACCTCCCTCAATTATTCAGTAACCGGGTTGGTGGAGGGAACCGAGGCTGTCTGTGGGCTCCATCAAATGGCACTCGCAGCACGGCGGTGCGAGGCCAAAAAGATAGCAACAAGGAAAACATCCTGGATGGATTCAGTCTGTGACTCACCGTGTCTGCTAATGGGAGGAAAAAAATCAATTGGACAAAAAGACAGGAGTATTCTGTGGGCTATTTAGGCTGCACCTCACCTGGACTGTGAATTTTTCATGGGTACACTAAATACCTTTCGCCGAAGTGAGTCCATCCAATGCAGTGTTCCTCAGCTCGAATCTACGGTGTGTTTTTCACCACATCCCCTACTGATATCATTTAGACCCTAAAATATATTCGACTCTTAGCGAAACGCACATTTAAATCACATCGGGATGACTCCGGTGGGACTCTAGGGCATGAAATCTGGATCCAAATCTATTACTCCTCCACGAGGTAAGGAGAGGGGCTTAGCATCCAAACAGTGATGCCTCATGTGAAAATCAACCTGTTATCACGCTACAAGTTCAGATAA